GTGCTGAGGGCAGAGCCTAGCTAAGGTTAAGACGGTTATTGTGAGAAGAGTGACATGCCTGTTTCGTGGAGCGTTTCGTTGAGACAATTGAAAAACCCTCTGTAAGAGGAAAGAAGTGATCTCTATTCTGTGCGTGCTGAGGGAAGAGGAGGTACGTAGTTGTGAGAAGAGCACTAAAAACGACAAGGTCTGTAAGGGAAGAATGATTCTGTAATCTGTGCGTGCTGAGGTAAAAGGTATGTTGTGAGAGACATTCGTGATGAGGGTCGTTTCTCTACTTCTGTCTGAGAAGCTAACAATCATCATCATCATCATCCTCATTCTCATCATCATCATCATCATTCTCATCATCGTCGTCGTCAATATTATCATCCTGACCAACCCAAAACTTTCCGTCTACAGTCTTGCGCGATCGTACGATTGTTTCCCCTTCGGGTTATTTTTCGTCTTTCAAACAAAACAACTTGCGAGTCGACGTTTTTCAGCTATTGAGAAACTGTCACAACAACGTTTTCAAGCGACACAACTCCTTCAACGTAGTTGTATAGAGATCAAAGTACAGATATCAACGTACTTTTCAACGTAAAAATTGTAGCTATACAGAGACACTGTTGTACTTCTGGTTTCAACGGGTTGAATAAGTGCTACTTCAGAAGGGAGCGAATAGATCAATTTGATAGGGAGTTGGTATCAATTGATTAACGAAAGGGGTTAATAGAACAACTTGATTGATATAGTTTATCGCCAGATTGTTTGAGAGGGAGAAAAAGGACGATAGAAGAAATAGGACTTCTCGGAGTAGGCAGAATTTCTTAAAGATCTTAGTGTCCGTAAGAGACACACCTCACGAGTATCTAAGACGACAAGGTAGACAGAACAGTAGAAGACTAGTATCTTGTAGTCTGAGACGTTCTTACAAAAGACACAGAAGTAGGAGTATCTACTTAACTAGTATCTAACTAGTATCGAACTACTATCTACGACGACAAAGATGACAGGCAAGATGCGCAAAACGGTCTTACGCAAGACTGTACTCGCTACGGCCTACCTGAATCTCACGGATTACATCAATCTCACCGATGCCCTGCAACTCTTTCACAGATCTGCTGCTCGTGACTCGATAGGACTTGACTTACAGAGCATGGGGGCAGGAAGTCAGGGAGTAAAAAATGCTTTATGTAGTACAGTCCTTGATGTAGTGAATGGAAGTAGACAAATGATCCAAATTACTTTTTCTACAATTTAAGGTGAATAGTTTTGACCGTTTGTACAATAAGATGAGTAGTTTTGGCCGTTAGCATCTATTACAGGCACACTCTGCTAGTTTCACCCAATTGTTGACTTTCGTTTAGAATATGATGGCGTAGTTCTTCTCACGCACTTCTGATTGTAGTGAGCTTGTATATTGACACAAATTTTTCAGGCGCCCGCAGCAAGGAGTACGCCGGTAAGTGCCGAGGTATTCCATTTCCACTAGATGGAGTATGAAGCTTAAGTTTACTTAAGATTCTTTCTATGGTTTAAGACTGACTGGACTCTCTTACTATCAACTTCATCATTTAGGTCCCATGTATGAAATAAAGAAGCAGGATTCTCTGGCTGCATTGAATTGGAATGACTTTCGGAATTCGAAAAGTAATTAGTGTGATGAATTCCAAACGATCAGCAGGAGCGAAATTCGCTAGCTAGATAAAGTTGTATTTAGAAAATGAATTTAAGACTCTCTCTGTTTCAATGATTTATGCTCTGATGAATAGAAGTGCTTACCACGTACATGAAATCGGAAAAGTGCATGTTGGAAGCGGTTGGTCTTCGACTCTGAACTAAAACATTTCAGCATGCGGATGCTTCGTCGGGCGATGGCGTGGTATTCCATTTCATCTAGATGGAGTATGAAACTTAAGTTTATTTGAGACTCTTTCTATGGTTTGAGATTGACAGACGAGACTGGATGCGCTTTTTACCATCAACTTCGTCACTTAGTAGATGCCATCTATCAAAACTTATCGGGCTGAACGATTGAGATTCATCAAGGCCCCTAGAAGCACAACCCTTGATGTAGTGAATGGAAGTAGGCGAATGATCCAATTTACTTTTTCTACAATAAGACGACTAGATTTGACCGCTAACTATCAAACTTTACAGGATGCCGCGTCACCGCCAGAAACGCCACCGGATGCGGGTGCGGGAGGATCGGTATTCCATTTTCACTAGATGGAGCTGTATGAAATCAATTTAAGGCTCTTTCTCTTTATATGATTCAAGAGTGACAGAGTGGGTCCTCTTTTTACCATCAGCTTCACCGCGTAGATCTCATGTGTGAAGCAGAGAAGTATGCGCATAGTTTGCATCTCCTAGATCCTTGCTTATGTTTGGAATAGTATTGAGTAGCACTTCCCACTTACTTCCGACTGTAATGAGCTTGCATGTTGACACAAAATTTTCAGGCAGCCCAGAGGAGTTTGTCAGTGGCCGAGGTATTCTATTTCCACTAGATGAATTTGTATGAAGTAAATTTATGTCTCTTTCTGTTTCTATGACTTTCGATTCACAGAGTGGGTCCTCTTTTTGCCATGATCTTCACCACGTAGATCTCATCTATCAAACCAAGAGGCATGATCATAGTTTGCATCTTCGACTGGTTGTCTAGAATGTTGCGGTGTAGTACCTACTCCGGACTCTTCGGAATTCCAAAAGTGACTGTTGTGCTAAACAAAACTTCAAACGGTCATCAGATGAACGCAGCAACAGAAGCAGCAGCAGCAGCAGCAGCAGCATCTGCTGAGGTACTCTTTTTATAGTAACAATGCTTGCACTCTCTTACCATGATCTTCACCACGTAGATCTTATCTGTCAAACCAAGAAGCATGATCATAGTTTGCATCTTCGACTGGTTGTCTAGAGTGTTGCGGTGTAGTAATTGTTGTCACAAACTTCAAACGATCTCCAGGTGGAGGCAGAACGAGAAGCGGCAGCATCTCGATTTCCTGAGGTATTTGAAAAAAACTGAAACTTATTGGAATGACTGACTGGAATAACTTGTGAGCATTCATCGACAACTCTTGAAGTCAATGGAAGTAGACAAATGATCCAAGTTATTTTTTCTACAATTTAAGGTGAATAGTTTTGACCGTTTGTACAATAAGATGAATAGTTTTGGCCGTTAGCATCTATTATAGGCACACTCTGCTAGTTTCAAGCAATTGTTGACTTTCGTTTAGAATATGATGGCGTAGTTCTTCTCACGCACTTCTGATTGTAGTGAGCTTGTATATTGACACAAATTTTTCAGGCGCCCGCAGCAAGGAGTACGCCGGTAAGTGCCGAGGTATTCCATTTCCACTAGATGGAGTATGAAGCTTAAGTTTACTTAAGATTCTTTCTATGGTTTGAGATTGACAGACTGGATGCGCTTTTTACCATCAGCTTCATTCTAGCCCGTTTGTACAATAAGATGGATAGTTTTGGCCGTTAGCATCTATCATAGGCACACTCTGTCAGTGTCATCCAATTGTTGACTTTTGTTTCGAATATTATGGCGTAGCACTCCTCACGTTCTTCTGACCAAACTTTACAGGCTGCCGCGCGATCGCCACCGGTTGCGGATCCGGCAGGATCGGTATTCCATTTCCACTAGATGGAGCACGAAACTTAAGTTTATTTGAGATTCTTTCTATGATTTAAAATTGACAGACTGGGCCCTCTTTTTACCATCAACTTCATCATTTAGGTCTCATGTATGAAACAAAGAAGGAGGATTGTCTGGCTGCATTGAGTTGGTGACTTTTGTCGAGAAAATTATCAAGTACTGTGCACAACGTTCTTGAAGTCCGAAGTTGCATTTTACTATATAATTTTCAGGGCGGGCAACGGCAGCCACGATTTCCATGGCTACGAAAAGTAATGTGTCGGGTATTCCCTTTCTGCTAGATGGAGCACGAAATCAATTTAAGACCCTTCTTAAGGTGGGTGGTCATCCGGGTGGTGAAGGTGGGTGGTCATCTGGATGATCTAATCGGAGACCGTATCGGAGACTTACAACTAGGAAAAACTGTCTAGTTCCCGTTACGGTCTCCGACAAGAGTTCCTATAAGTGCTATTGGGGAAGAGTTTTTGTAAGTACTAAGATATTTTGAGGTAGGTTTATCCCACCAAGCAATATGTAGAAAGCAGAGCAACTGCAGCTGGTGTGTGTTGACTGCATCTACAAAGTTGTAGTAGAAAAGCAACTCTATCTAGATTGCATTTCAACTTGGTGGAGATGATCTTTTAGGAAGGGTATTCTAGTTTACTTACAGTAGAAAGGGAAAAGGTGCTCCTGTGGGTCTCATATTCCTGCTGTAGGAAAACTGAAGACGTCCTAGGACTTCTTCTTGTTATTCCTATGAATGTTTCACACTAGGGGACGGCTCCTCGTCGAAGTTCCTCTGGATCTAAGATGTGCTGCAACTATCTGTAACAAGAAGTGCAACTCTCTTTAGGAAGTAGTTCTATAGTTCTACGTGCAAGAGCGAAGTACTACATCTAAAAAGATAGAAGTGCTGCTATCTAACAGAAGTTGTAGCACTATCTGCAAGTACAGGTACTATCTGTCAGGAGTACTAGTTAGTTAGAGCAGGGACTATATCTAGGTAGTGCTACCTGGTAGAAATACTGTCTAACATATGGCGTTCTCTGTAAGAAGTACTGATGTGTGGGTACTAGAATTAAATAAAAGTAAGCATTCTTTCTTTGATGTGCAGGAAGAATTGAAGAAAAGGTGGATTTCTACTTTGTAGTATTGATGAATTCAATTTGATGCGTCGTGAGAGCTCTCTTTTATAGTTGTCTAGTAAGTTGTCGAGCAAATTGAGTGAAGCATCCTTCCTCCATGGATAATGTCTTGGCTCCACTGAGACTTCATCTAGATGACTTAAAGGAGTCACCACTCATCTACAATGGTTCAGTATCTATCGGCTGCTCTGTGAATTCGCCTCTTTTTTGAATCTACTCAAAAATGAATGTCCGTTGATGAAAATTGCAATGCGTTTTTTTTTTTCTCGAGGGTAGTTAGAAATAGACGTAGTTCACTGTATTTCGACGTCATCTTTTCTTGTGTGCCGGAACTGACTTATATTCCCACAGAAGCTTCAAGCCAGAAGCTTCCAAGGAATGGATCTGCCTCTTGGAAAGGGGTCTCCAGGCTGAAGTTTCCAAGGGGTTTGCAAGGAGTGTGTTGGAACGTAGTGGCGGCAACTTTCAACAGAGGGGAGTCTGCTACAACACACGGCGATAGATGCAAGGAGCAGCTATTTCTAATCTCGATGAAAATGAAACGCAATGGATGGCGAGGTATTACGAATGTAAGACTGTATTCAAGATTTAATAAAAACGACAAAAAGGTATTATGTTGGGAAAAATAAAAGGTACGATGTTAGGATTGAGAACAAAGTGGATTTACAGTAGTCATGAAGCAAGCGTTCTTGACAGGAGCGATCTTCATGATGAAACTGTATCTAGGCTTGTTTGGCTGAGTAGTAAGATTATGAGATTTCTTCAGATTCAATTCTTTCACATTCACAAAAGTTCTTCACAAAGTAGATAATTGAGACTTCTCCATGCTCTTCCTGGGTGTATTCATCTGAGGAATTGAACTAATATTAGTTATGGAGTCGAATGTCGGAGCGACATGAATCACCTTCATGTCGCTCTGACACCGAAGGAATACTAGAATCAAAATAGAAGTCGTGTTTGATGATCTGTCTGTTCCTAAGCGCAAAGAGTGTTGGGAGCTTTAGATCGGTACAACATCCGATGTAGGAGGTTGGTCATACTCTTACCTAATCAGCTATTGTTTCACACACTAGGATTAAAAACATAGAGACTTCAATATGTAAAGGTAGTAAAAATGTAAACGTTGCCCTAGGTAACATCAGCACTATAAAGAGCGTAAGAAAATGAGGTCGTGAATATTGTAGGGAAAAGTATTACTGTTGTTGCTTTTGGTAATGATCCTCGTTCTAAAAAGATCAAGGTTTTGTTGCTCGAAACAGCAGAAGTTTGCATGATTAAATACTCAGCATTACAAAAACGGCATTCGTGCACTGCAAAACTTTGGGTTAACGACTACTACGCAATTTGAAGCGGGGGGAAAGCTAGAAGAGAAGATCGATCTGCAGATAGATAGAGAAACTCGATAGAAGTCTAGTCATCGTCTCAGCAAATTAGTGGTAGTCGTGCCTCATGTTTGCAAGTGTAAACATAATCCACACTGTTGATAAGCTGTTGATAAGAACAGAATGACATTGGCTTTAATCTTTTATCGTTGATTTGATTTACTTGGCATCACTTTGCACTCTGGAATTGATTCTGGCTCTGTCGTCGTCTTCTCTCGTGTGTTTTTTCAGTACCGTCGTCATGAAGGGAACTACTATAGTAAGCTGATCACTACGCCCGTGAGGAACCTGCTGGAATTGTGCTTGCGTACACAGGGCACTCCTGTGCGTGCTGAAGCGGAGCAGTCACCTTGATGTGGCAGCGAAGTCGAAGCGCCCTATCCTATCCTAGAAGGGTTACTCATGGACTCAAGCTACTCAAGCTACTGAGGCTTACTCATGGACAACTCGTGTACTCAGTACTCTACAGTGTACTTGCGTACTTGTGTCGCATACCACTACGTAAGCACCCAATGCAGCGTGTAGTTCCTAAGTCTAGAGACGATATAGCGAGGCGGGCTCCAGCTATGAAAACCACTAGAGAAACGACCTAAAGGAGTAATGAATTGACGTCAAGATGGAGTGGGTGAAAGGATGCAATTTAAGTAATGATAATCTTCTGATGAAAAATGCAACTGATGCTGCTTTTTCTTTTTACCTAGGCTGTAGGCCCTTCTACCTGGATTAATGATATGGAAAATAATATGTACAACTACACCCTCTGCTAGCAGATCTGATGCCGCTCTTTCCCTTCTCTTACTGCAAGAGCAGGGTTAGTACAGTTGTATCTCATTTCATCTATTTTTCATCTTTTTAACCTAGGCTCTACTAGGCTCTATTTCCTCGAGTAAAATGAAAAATAATAATAATATCGGTAAAAAAGAATGTTGGAGAATGGTGCTGTGCGTTTCTAACGTCTCGTAGAAGGCGTACTCGACTGTCGTTCCAGAAGGAATTTTGAATCACGTGAGGAGATAAGTATTTCTAAAGCATGTTTACGAAAATGATAACGACAGCCAGAGGGAAACTGCACAGGTACCAATCGACTAGTCGTAAGTACTTAATTAGACAGATGTTATTGCCTAAGCGCAAAAATGCATAGATGAAAGTAATCCATAGTAAGTGTTTTAAAAGAAGAGGCTAAGTAGAAGGATATCACTTCTAGCCTCATCTTTATAAGAAGCAGCTGCTAGGTGCGCCTTCGTCGTCTCCCGTGAGGAGGCGCGTTCGCCGTCGTTCCAGAAGGAATTTTTTTGAAAAAGTTGTATGAGGAGAAGACGCTTTTTTTTAGCTCGTTGAAACAAATGATAACGACGGTGGACGAGGAGGGCACGACAGATATGATGATTTGATATTTAGAAAAATAACCTGTGAATCAAACCAAATCAGATCCAATTCGTGTAGCCGACTTCTAGTGATGTGAGTTCCGTTTCTAGGAGTTCTGTTGTGAAAATATTAAGGGAGGTGGTCGTTGCTAAGTTATTACACCCTTTAGCTCCAATACCATGATCCTTGGCTTGTTTTCAATTAGAAGTCAGCGGACTACAGCAATATAACTCGAAAGAGTGCGATAATGTTGCAACCTCCTTTCTCGTGGTGGTGCACGAACAAATGAATGGGTTGTGGTGATGGTTTGATTCGTAACTACAGGAAAAATGTCGAGAACAGTACAGACTTATCTGTGGGTGGCGTGGATGTGTTCTACTCCGCAAGAAAAAGTGCCTGGCAAGCTACCAGCACACCTCTCCGAAAGAAAAGCACCTGTCTCCGATCTAGGAGGACTCAAATTCTCCTGTTGGCCAGAGGATCTGCTGAGGAACAGACCGAATTCACTGTGATTTCTACCGATCCGGCGCATGGTGTGCAGGACTGAGGTCGAAGCCCTCATCTAATCTAGCCAGAAAGTTAAAGGACTAAATCCTCCCCCATGCAACCAAACTTCCCCCCACTCCCCCTCATCGGAACTTACCCCCTGAATGGGTAGATTATTGTTAGTATTCTGTGGCTGGGTGCGTTCGCCGGAGCAGGATGCTACAGGTCTATCCTGTGTGGAAGAACGGTGGAAGATACAGGATTTTCGCATGATGCAAAAACTACAGACGATGTTGATACTGATTCATAGTTGGTTGTGACCGAAGTGCAAGTATAGGACATCACCGGAAAAGCGGCTTTGAGAGAGTCTCTCGGAAGAAGTCGGAAAGTATAGGACATCACCGGACAAGCATGGAGGTCTCCTTGTTCTCTGAAATAGATCCTCCTGCTTCGATTTTCCTCAAGGAAAGCGTAGGGGCGAGACCTCTTCATGAGGAACATTACAGTCACATCTTGTTGGCATACTTATCCGATGTAGAAGTGATTGAAGAAATTGAGCATATTGGGCCAGATGAAGGTGCCAAGCCTCTTTGCATCTCCGAAGGCGATGCTCAACATTGTGGCACTTTTCCTGCGACGGGAGGTGCTTGGTGCAACATTTAGGGAATCAATCAAGTTGTCCCAATCGGGAATCCATCAAGCATCCTAAGACTGGAGGAAGTATAGTTCTTCATCAAAGGACGCAGGAAATAAATAGAGTTCTTCCAAGAGCATTGGAGACGCACAGAATTCCACCAGGAAAACTAGGATGACTCAAATATTACATAGAATTCCACCAGTACTAGGATGACTTTCGAGACGGATATAATGGATTCCCAAATTATATTGCTAAAACGACCGACACAGAGAAGTTCGCACGAGGAGCACCACATCCGCCTCCAGAATTTTCGACGCCACGTAGCAGAATTAGGCACATGTCCTTGGAAACGGAGGGTTCCAAGCGTTGGCGGTTGTCCTTAAGGGGGCTTGAGTGGATAGTTAAGGCTCAAAACATTTCATCTCTACAACAAGTCACTTCATGCTTGTAGTTTCCTTCATTTTAGGACTGTGCAGGCAAGAAATAAAATGTTTTGGGCCTTATAAGATAGGCCACGACAAAGATGCCAGAAGAAGTGACTGGATAGCAGACAAAGAACTGTATTTGGAAACCACAGGGAGACGGCATGGCTGTGAGTACTGTCGATGCAGCACTGAGGACCAAGTGGAAACTGGATGGGCCCTTACAAGTAGTTACGAAACTGGATTGTCTTCAAGTAGTAAAGCTAAAGAAGCTGGATTGTGGTGGTCAAGTAGTATAGCGAAACTTCATGATGGCTTACAAGTAGTAAGTTAGGGCATTGCATGATCGCTCCTTGTTTTGAGGTAAGGGATTGTCGCACTCGCAAGTCTAATGTTAAACTGATGTTGGCGCCAGTGCTGCCAGTGGTGTAAAGAGGAATTCTTCACGCGTAACGGGTGCAGATATTTCTGCTGTTGCTGGGCCTTTGGAACATCGTAAGGCCTGCGTGTTAACACATTTCAGAACAAGCGTAGAGAATTTTTAGCAATGTGAGGTTAACTGTGATGTAGCACATTGCTAAAAATTTTGTACGCTTGTTCTGCATCCATGTTCTACTATGTAGGAAGTGGACCACACAGTCGGCGTTTTCCCATTCCTTCGAGCTGCCACTTCTGCGTGTGCGGATGCTCGTGGTCGGATTGAGGCAGAGCACAGACAATGGCGACACGAGTACAATCAAAGGGTCACCGACGACTGTTTCGCTAAGTGTGCAGAGCGACGAAGGGAACAATTGTCCGGTCGTGGACCAAGGCGAGCCGACTCGAGAAACGATAGAAGAAACAAAAGAAGTGGAGGAACCTACAATGAAGAGCAGCCGTCTTCTTCTAATTGCACTTGGAACAAACGACCCCTTTCGTCAGAAGGGGGACTGACGTCAGAAGAGGTGACCAGCAGGCTGCTTTCAGAAAGAGTTGCTACTCGCTCTGCTTCTGTCCGACCGTCTTCAGCAAGGCGAGTGGTCGAGGAAAACTTCTTCAGTGGTGGACCTGTGGAGACGTGTGAACCTGAAGTCGTCACTGCCGCGTGGTTGCGCGAGTTGTTTATGAAGGAAGACATAGTGGAGAATCGAGTCGCTTTTCTAGATGCCATCGCGCGTTTGGCACGAACACGTGGGATACAAGACGACGATACCTGCATTACAACTAGTGGACCCGATACTGAGGGAGACTACTACACGAGCTGGGGTAGTGCTGCTACTGGAGGAAGGGCGCGTGGAGGTGGTGTGGAGACGTGTGCAACTGCTAAAGAGATTAATATTCTGGACGAGGGGAGCAGTACAGCAACTACACGACCAATGGAGGCGCCAAAAGAAGTACACAACAAGGAGAGCTTCCACACACGCACAACTGGAAGTTCGTCTCGTACAGTAACTTTTGCCCCGTCAGTGCGTACTATTCATCCTCGTTCGTCCTCTCATTCGCCAGAGGGTTGCCCTACTTCTTCAAGTTCGTACGAACTCGGTAGTGGGTCCTTTAGTCCGGCTAGTCCCGACCGTGCAGCAGGTGGCGCATCTCTACCGAGTAAGCGAGGGCCGTCTCTCTTCGACCTCCAAGCTTCCAACGGAAAGAAAGAACAAAGTTCTGTCTTCGACCAAGCTTCCAACGGAAAGAAAGGAGGTGGAGAACATCTGCAAGGTTCGAAACACTTGTGTGAAGACCGTTTCGCGATGCAGGAGAATAGTCTACTGGGTACAGAAGACGTATCAAACGCGCGAAGAGACCACTTTTCAGTGCAGGATGCTTTGAATGATATTAATCGTTTTTTGGCAAGAAAAGCCGCGACATTATCTCGAAGTACTATCGGTAGTGGCCTCGGCGTATCTTCTCTTAAGGAATTATTCTACAGGTGTAGCTTTTTTTAGTTTATGTGCTGTTCCTTCATGTACGCAGACAGAGGCAGCCTGTTTGTTAGAAGGGAGAAGTGACTCACAACTTCAAACATTCAGTTTAGATATGATCTGTACTTTTCTTTGTAGTCGAAAATGCAAAAGGATGCTGTCTCTGCTGGCTTTCTCTTCACGATTGAGCACGATCAACAGGATCTCAAATTTGTTAGAATTTTGTACATCGTTTACATACTGCATTTTCTAACAATACTACTACTAGGAGCTCGACGCCTTTTTTGCCGCAGGAACAGCATCAACTTCGCGCAGCTACCTCTACTGGGTTACTGAGAGCAGGCTCCGACACACCTCCGACTTTTCGCTCTTCTTCACGCGCTTCGTGGACTCTCTCTCCTCAAACTGCTACAACCCTGCCTCCATCTAGTACCTCCATACCTCATGGTGTTGCTAAACCTCTCAATTCTATGCCTCATGGCAGCACGACTAGTGCGACAGTTGGCATTTCTCACACGACTGGTGCTGGTATTGCTTCTAGCACGTCTGCTAGAAGTTTCTCTCCTTCGTGTCCGAATACCTATTTACCGATACTACGAGGTGGTGGAGGTGGAAAAAAAGAGACTTCTCGGAACAGGGTTGAGTTATGGTCGGCTTAATTTGTCCATCTTTCTCGGTATCTTGCAACTCTTTTCCCAATACAAGGGAAAAGGGGAACGAGGTGAGGGGATCGAGATAAAGAGTGGACGACTTTAAGTGAGAGCACTTTACGCGGAGAGGTGTCTTCACATGGAGATGCGTCTTCACTTGGCGGCGTGTCCTCCTCATCCGGCTACCAGTCGGATTCGTTATCACCGCTAAGCTTTCGCAGTAACATGGAATATCCAAGGACTGGTCTGTCCCCTGCATCTTTTGGTAGTCCAACATCGATGTCTGCCTTTGACAGTGTAGGTAGCAGTCCTATGCGAAATCTTAATCACTTCGATATTATGGTTGCAGGAGCTACATCAAGTATGACAGGAACATCGAGTATAGCAGGAACATCAAGTATAGCAGGAACATGGAGTATGACAGGAACATGGAGTATGTTGACAGGAGCTACAGCTAGTATGATAAGAACAGAGGGTATCACGGGAGCAGCAGCTAGCAGTCAGCTGAACGAAGACGATGGAAGACCTACTTGCGGTACAGCAACGCCTATTTTTGGCGGTTCTACTTCTAGTTTTCTTTTCAACGGTGCTTCGAGGACTCGGAACAGCGGTAACGCAGCTTCTGCTAACGCAAACGCTCGTCCGGATTCTCTCGCTATCGTGCAAGAATGTCTTCGTGAACTAGTGCTGAGTGGCACGACGGCGACCGGTTGTAAGACTAGAGGAGCACAAGACTTTGCGGCTGATCGAGTAGAGCCAGAACCACCACGACTATCAGATGAAAAAGAGCCACATCAAAGCAGTACAACTGGCGTATCACCAGCAAATGAGAAAGAACCACATCAAAGTACGACTAGTTGTACGATAACAACAAGACACCAACAAAATAGAGATGATGAGTTTCCGTGTCGTATACCATTGGCGCCACATCGGCGCACCTCTGACGACGACGTCGGGTATCCAAAGCGTCTACTGCAGAATGCGCAACCAGCAGGATATTCCTATGGCCTCCCTAATCCATCTTCGGAAGCACCGGAGAGACGTTTTCAAGGGAAGAGCATTCGATGCTGGAGGGACTTCGAGATGGATTAGGGTGAGCTCTAATATTTGGCTGAACGTTCACCTGAGGATTCTCGGGTTTCTATTATGGCTGTAGCTTGTCAGGAGACGATCAGTTGTTTCTACAGAAAATATTGACATTTGAATTTTAGATCAACATGAACATCACAACCTCTTTTGATCAAGAATATCAGCATTCATCAACATATTACCACGCACTTTAATATCCGTATTACGATACTGTTGATTCGCATGATAAGAACATTGCACCAAGAAAACCGAACGATCAACAGCATACTAAGGTTGCATGCGATTTTTCCGAGGTCGTTCTCTAAGTTTTCGAGTGCATCTGCCCAGCCCTCTAGAAGATTTCCGTATGTGCCGTTTCCGCCAACATCGGATTTTCCTGCATGGAAGAACTGTTTCTCAAAGCATGCTGCTCATTCATCTGGGGATGCTTACTCTCCGTCTCCCAGCACTTCTCGATCGTCCGCAGGAGGTGTGTCGGCAAACCATGAGACACCAGAGCAACGGGCAGCGCGACGCAGTCTTGCCAGGACCGACTCCGCGATGGGAGATGAGCACTTTTATGATGGATTGTCTTTTTCACTGTCCCATGATAGATTCTGTCACATGATTGTACTGTTAGATTGAGATTTTGCAGCGAAAATCCCATAGTTACTGTTACTCTCAATATGATCACTATAAATCTTTACTAGGAAGATTTTGCTTGTTCTGCTACCCCTCGTGTCTACTTTCTAACACATTCGTCGAAGACTCGCGGGACCGTTGCGGTTTTCGCCTTTGTTGCATCAGCATTGTCGGCTCTCAGGCCAGTTCGGGAAACCGCCGAGTTACATTCGTGGCACCTATCATCAAGAGTTTCCATGTTGTTTTAAGGCCCATGATGGTTCTCGTGGAGCGTGTGAGAGAGATGAAGACAGGCGACTGATGGTTGACTTGGCTGCTCTGATGATGGTTTTCTTGGATGATCTTTGTAATTTGGAGCTTGGATAATGTTTGTAACTTCATTCTTTCAACGAAAAGCTTCTTTCAACGAAAAGAGTCGTAGGTAGTTTTTCTCTCGTAGTTTTCCCGTTATGATTTTTACAAGCGGTACTTTCACTTCTTTACTCCTCTTCTAATCTTAGTTGCTATTGTCGTTTCCATGTCCAGTCATACGCGAAACGTCCCGTTTGGTGCGGCATCTGCGCTCACTCGGACGCACTTTGCGCTGAGTACGAAGTAGAAGGACTAGATCCACCTCGTTGGGCACTACGGTATGCCGACAGGTATTTTGGTCAGGATGAAGAGGGTCGAGGTGATGGGGCTGATACTGTAACATCAAGGGGGCTGATACTGTAACATCAAGGAAGTTTCGAAGTGGCGAGGCTGGTGCCTCGGGAAGAGAGAATCCTCCTTCGAGTAGTGCTGCTGCTGTTGCTCAGGCCTTGCTAGTGAAAGTGGTGGCCCAGCTGTAATGCTAGAGGCCTCCAACGAGGAAACTGGTCGAAGTATCGTAGACGGACATAAGGAAAAGAGATGCGGGGCCACTGGTTTCAGTGGGCGGCTTCGATTTGGAGAACAGTTTCAGTTTTTATGTTGTTGCGTTGGAGCATCTATAGTGTAGTTGTTCGTGACAGATTATGAGAATTCAATAGCGGTCGCATTGTACACCCAGTGTCTGGCGAAGAAGCCTGCAGGTGGAAGCGGGTAACTCGTATTAAGAACTCCTTATCCCGAGGTCATAAAGCATGGCCCATAGTGTGCTTGCTTTTCTACTATCATTTAATACATGGTTTTCATGACTGAGAATATACTTGGCCCACTATCATTTACTTGAGTCTCTACCATTTTTTGTTGATACTCAGTGTCAGCGCTCATTCTACCCTAAAAGAAACGTGTCTCTACCACAAGGAAAGCGCCTTGTGCTACCAATACAAAATTTTGTATGTACTATGGGATGCTGTCTGTGTTAAGACCCATCAATTCGTTTCCAGAAAAGTTTCTGGTCTGCCAAAGTCAAAAAAAGTGTCGATGAAGATTACTTTTAGTTGTAGAACCTAAACGATGCTTGTTGGAGGTGTGGCGGTGTGTTGTTTGCAGGCCTTACCGAGCTTTGTCCAGGACACACGGGCGAACTTGAGTGAGGAGATTAAGAACTCCCCCCTACGCCGCTAACTACGCGGAATCTATGTAGGCAGGTTCTTCACGGAACTCGCTCGCGATACGAATAAAAGAGCGAGAAGTGGCACACGAGTTGAATCGAATACGTATAAGAAGTAGAATAAAGCAACTTCCAACTTTTCCTAGAAGTCTATCTAAATGATTGCGCCGCTCGGCGTGTTAGTAGTCACAACGAGGATCGATGTGCAGGATCCAGGACCTAACCTGGCTCGATGTGTAGCATCCATATTGCCCGAGTTTGGCCTTGATTTCGAACAAAAAAATGATGTCTTCTGCTTCTCACGGCTCGATGAGGTGTTTTGTCTTGTTCAGATTACAGTGTAGTTCCTTGTTCTTTTTCTCCCTCGTCTTGGTTCCTCTCGTGGAAGCCACTTGGGATTACAGTGGCTCAGATCCTAAATATGCGCCGGATTTTCCAGACTTCGATTGCAGTAGCGACAAAGCGGACGAGTCATGGGACTCGTTCTTCCAGGATTTACAGACTATGGGTCTAGTGCTGCGGGACGTGGCCCCATTGTATCAGGAACCGAGGATAGGGGCTGAACGCGTACTGGCTGAAGGAGGAGATCAGGTGGTTGGTGGTCAAGGAGATGGTGCCAGCATTGGTAGGGATGGAAGACGAGGAGATTTAAGGCTTCCCCTAATCCATCTGCGGAAGCATCTTGAAGGCGTTTCCAAGGGGGAAAAGGTCCCAGGATGCATCTCAGGATGGATAAGGGTGAGCGCTAATAGATGGAGGTCGAGGACAAGGTGAAGGTGGTACAGAGGATCCTGGCAGTGATTATGGACAGAAGAAGAAAGACGACAACAACGACAAGAACAGCGACGTGAATATCGTTGGAGGTACTAGAGATGATGGCGCGAAACCACCTGCGAGAAAACCCGTTGCGAGCAAGCCCATTGTCACATCCCGTGTGATGGAAGGTCTCAGAGGTTTACTCCACGCGTACAGTGATATATTCCAGACTACGGTACTGAATGGTGGAGCCACGGACCTCGACTTACCTCGTGGATGCCGACTAGGCCTGCTTACCTACCAACTTTTCCGCCTATTCTGGTTGGTGTTTGATCAACGCTCAATGCTGTTCAAGGGAGAGGGGGGTAGAAGTGCGGACAGTGCAAGTGCAAGTGGTAGAAAACAAATAGACATGCTAAGCGATCATGTGAGTGTTATTGTTGATGACGACTCCGGTGATATGGATGGTGCAGAGTCGAGCACTAGTGTCGGACTCGAACAACAGGAGAAGCATCAACAGGTCTTGGACGCGATATTTCGAGTGACAGCAGCAGAGCTAGGGACGCCATCTACATCTTCAGGCCTTAATCGCAGACGGTGGGCGGATCAGGCTTATTTCCTGTATTATGCGGAACGCATCGATGGACGAGGGAAGGCGCAGGAAGAGCAGTATGCTAGGATTGTCGCCAAGATGCCACAAAACCGGGTCTATGTGCGCGAAGAGAGCGACGGCGAAGTAGCGGAAGCGATCAGGATAAACCATGCAGAGGTGGACCATGCAGAGCAGTCGGACGAAAATAGTTATCAATTAAGGACGGTTTTTAGGCGTCGGGCACTGCAATAACAGGCGTTCTTTGCCGTTGACAAAAGATACCGTCATACTTGAAGTGTATCATGGGTGGATAGAAATCCCACATCTTGAACCTCCACTGCAGTTTGAACCTCCTCTAAGCCTAAAATCCGAAGAGGACGCTTCTCCCGACCGACGCCAGCACGTGATATCTGAGCAGGACAGTGCCGATGTTTTGCGCTCGAACTTGTATTACTTGTTAGATTTTGAGGCTCTAGCGGCTCTGGGACTCACGCGAGGCGAAGTCGTATTCCTTCTCTTGAGGAGTCTCAAGGAACTTCTAACAGGCGTGAAAATCGAGATTTTGCTAGTTATGGAGGATGAGCAAGCATTGGGGTAGAGTATTGGGTAGAGGTCTGCACTTACGTCGTCAAGAGAATGACTCCTAGGGTTCAGCATTTTAAAATCGTAGGGGCATTAGCGTAGTTGTTAAGGAGATTAAGAACTCCCCCCTCCGCCGGTATCCACGCGGAAAATACGCAGGTAGGTTCTGACTTATCGGAACTCGCTCGCACTACAAAAAAAAAAGCGAGTTGTTAAGGAGATTAAGAACTCCCCCCTACGCCGGTATCCACGCGGAAAATATGTGAGCAGGTACTGACTTATCGGAGCTCACTTGCAAAATACGCAGGTAGGTTTTGATATATCGGAACTCGCCCGCGATACAAAAAAAAAAAGCGAGATAAATTGTATTGTATTGGATTGTATAGAGCTAGATCGTGTCACTCGTCAAGAAGTAGACATGCATTTGTTCTTTCTCCTGAGATGTGTCTAGAATTGTAAGTATGGCCGTTTCTTGTATGGAGTTCGAGAGACGGATGCCACAAGAAAGACAAAGCCTCCCGCTAATCTCAGCTCTCGTTGGCCAGTCCTCGATCTCCTAGGGGTCCTCGAGCGAACAGACGTCGACCATCCAGCTTTAGCAGCACGGCTTTTTCATGGTGTCTCGCCAGACTTGAGGGCCTCGCGAGTGTGGTACCAATGTCCGGTCACGTATGTTCTAGAGTGGCCAACATTGCGGTCGGAGTTGGCGAGTACCGCAGCCGCAAACTATGCGACAGTTAAGGCTTTTTTTACACTGAAAAGTCATCTTAAGAAGACTTCTGGAGACTGGGTTTATTTTCACGAGAGAAAACGTGTTAGCAAGGCGATGTGTCCTCGATGAAGATGAGGCGATGTGTCCTCGATGAAGATGACAGACTTTGAAGGTTGTGTGATAAATCTTTACCGGTCTACTCTGCGACCTACAGTCTCGTCTAAGAAAGTGCTTACACGTGGCGAAGGAGGTGGCCTAGGGCAGTGGGCTTTTGCGAAAGAGTTGGAGCAGGATGCTTTTCCAGTACTAGAGGGCAGTACTAAACGCTTCCTAGTAGCTGCAATGATACGAGATTTAAGGCTCAACTTTCATTGGTCATAGAGGTTGGCCACTGAAATCGAAGCGGGCCCCCTTGAGAGAACAGGGGAAAAGTGAAGGAAAACAAGTGTAGGGGTTGGGGGGGTCCCTCCCGTTCAGAGTCATGATGACCAAACCGACTGCTGACCTTTAAGAGATAGAAGATTTCTCCAAGGGAGCAGCACCTTGGAGAGGGATCTACTGGAAACAGCGGGAAGATCGTGTGGCCGTAAAGGTGACCAGGATAAGGAAAGAGACCAGCAGGAGACTAATGCTAAGGCTCAGCTTTCAATGGTCACCATTGAGATTGGGGTCACTGAGATCGAAGAAGCGACCGCTTTAGAGAACAGGGGAGAACGAAGGGAAAGGGGAGAGCTTTGAAGGGGGTCGCCTCCGTTCAGCATCAGTGACCATTGAAGGCTGAGCTTTAATAATGACAACCAAAGCGACCAGAAGACGCATAGGGATCAAGATCATATGAAATGTCATGTAAGTGCAAGTGGGAACAAGTCTAGCGAGACGGAGACGGAGGCCACTCGAAGTACTATATTAACTCCAGAAGCCTCAGAAGATTACAGAAGCAATGGGAACGACCTGCCTGTGATCCTGTTCTTTTTATCCGATGCTTTGTGCGGGGAACCAGTGGACTTCACTACGACCTTCCACGAAGCAGAATCTCGATTCGTAGAAGAGACTCGGCTAGCTGCTCATGCACTAGGGAATACTCATCCACAGGGTTCTATGAACAAGAGGCAAGTTTCCACGACCAACGCGGATTGGAGCGAGGGAGAAATAGACGCAGCCGTCGTAACAAGATTCTGCACAGCACTGGCGCAAAGGCAAGAGTCGACGCGGTCTTCTGCTAGCGAAGATCTTATTGTGAAAGCAGACGTAATTAGGAAGAACTACCTACATGCATTGGTTCTCAGATACAGACATCTTGACCATGCTAGTAGTTGGAGAAAAGCATACTGATTACTCTAATTACAGGTAGTATTACAGTTGTAGAAAGATTGAGATTCTCACTTTTCAGACTCCGTCCTTAAAAGCCCTCTACAACTTTCATAGCCCAACGTGAAGTCCTCCAAGAAGCTGACTCGAAACGCGCGGATCTTCTCAGAGACGCTCTGTCTGGTACCTCTCTCAATGCTGCACAGGTAGTTCATTTTCTGACGAACGATCGGTTCGGGCGAGGGTGGGAGATGTCGCACCACGTATGTCAAGCAGGAACTTTGATTAAGAAAGGGTCATGATTTGTCTACTCACTATGTTTGTTAAGCAGGAACTTTGATAGGTTATGCTATGAGAATAAAAGGGGATTACTAGTCGCAACCTGTTGACAAGCATCCTAGACTCCTATTGTTTCCGCAATCTAGGTAGTGGTCGTTTCATGTACTCGCTAGCACGACGCACTCCAGCCTATATATAAGTTATTTTTAGGCGAAGGAAGTACGTTTTTTTTGCACCTCCTGACCGACTCTCGTTCATATTCCTGCTAGACGCCTTCAAGTACCAGGTCTGTGCGAGACAGGCGAGCCAGTGTCTAGAGCATTACGCCAAGCACTTGGAGATCGCCATCCAGGAGAGCACGCATTTCTTTGATATTTTAGGAAGCCCTTTTCCAGTATTCACGTTCCTAGATCGACTACGCAATAGTTTGATTCGACACGACTTCGCACCCGTGGATTTCACGTGGCGCGAACTGAAGGGGGAAGTCGGGATAACTGATGACGTGGCAGTACAACTAGGTCTTATCAGCAGTGAGCAGGACGACAACTCAAGTTCAACATCTACTGCATCTGGATCTAGTATCCAGAGTTTTTCATCTGCTTCTGAACCTCTGCGAGTAATGCTGGAATCGCTGCCGAACTTACGGGGGGATCACAACTATTACACTTTCGGGGCACCAGGCGATGGTAGCAAGGAAGGAATCAATGTTAAGACGCAGAGTAACCAGAGTTCGTGTTATTGTGAATGGAAATTAGTTTCAGGGTTCTTCCATCGTGTGAATAGAATTTCTACAGGGACATGATCACGCAGGACTACGCGAATACTGCAAAGGCACAAAAATGCCCCAATTTTTATATTCTCTATCATATAATCTGGATCATCTTCGACTTCTAATAACCCCGGTTACCTTGTCTACGCTTCTATGGTTTTTGGTACTATGTTCAACAAGCACATTCCCGCATTCGTAGCCATGGCACGGCGTGTGATGTTGCCTGTATTAGTTTTACTGTGCTTGGATGACGGGGCTAGGAAAGCGTGTGATGCTGAGAGAGCTCGTTCTGAAGATGGGTTGGCTATACAACAACAAGTGCAGCAAAAGAATAAGGATGAAGTAGACCCTAGTACTAGTACTACAGTACAAGAACAGGAGCAAAATGAAGACTCTATTAGTAGTACTACTCCTGTACAAGACTCGGCATTTACCACCTTACGCCTCATATGCATCCCCGGCCACAAGCAGTCGATCCTGCACAAATTTACATTGCCTTTGATGCTCTTGCACTTGGGCTTAGACGTTTTTTGGCTGGATTTTGACGTTTTCGTTCTTCGGGATCCATTGCCACCATTGAAAGCCAGACTGGTGGAAGTCAAAAAACCTGTGGAACTATTGGTTTCTGCGTCGTTCGCGGATGACTGTATCTGCACTGGAATAGTCTTTTTCAGGTCCACGGTGTTATGGCCATGAAAATGTTGAAGCCTTATCTTAGAGATCTTAGAAGTTCAATTGCATTCATTCTAGAAATCTTATGGTTTTCAGCAATTCAATACTATATCAATAGTACTTCGAAACCATGCACTCAAGAACTTTCAGAAATGTTCAGTTCTGAGATGTAATTTCAAATCTTCAAATTTCAAACTCAAATTGATAGCTCATATCCAAGAAATTTTTTATTATATCTCGTTTTAATTCAATTTAAATCCTGATCGTGAGATTGGCTGGAGCTGTGATTCTGAAAAATGCTTGCTTTCTTTATGCACTAAGACCAGCACTGAAATAAGTGCTGAAACGCCACTGAAAAAGCTGTGTAACAAGTACTGAAAGCCTCATAATGCTGTACGTAAAGACTTGGGCCTCTCTCAGACATGAAGTTGTCCCTTGCAGGGTTTTAGTAGCACACTCGTATGTGCGTTGATCTAAAAAACAGTCTGCGGGCTCATGCTATTACATCACTAATATCTACCCCGTATAGAAGGTCTTGTCTCTTTATTTTGAACTAATATTCCCACTTTAAGGCAAAGTCCTTCGCCAACAAAACAAGGGGTAAGTCGTTTGCCTCCGTTTTGTAAGCTACTACAACTCAACAGCGATTCTCCTGTCTCTAACTTTCACAGTCCGTAACTGGCTTCTGTTGCTTCTCGCTTATCTTTTCGAGCACGTGCACCTACACGACCAGCAGTTTTTTTCCATGTTCCTGTCTCCGCAACCTGATATCGATCAGCTGGTAGGGTTCGAGTCCGCGTCTGCGGACAAGCTTCTACATCGCTATCTGCTACCCAGCCTAGAAGTCCCAACTTGGGCGATTTTGGACCCCGTGGAGCAATTCGTCAGCGCATGGGAGTTGGAAAGTACAGGATGGACTGGAAAAATGGAGAAATATGGCAAGTAGAATACTAGATGTCGTTGTGGAATTTTTTGCAAATTGTCTTTTGTTTTTTGTTAGAAAGATCGTTTCTTGAATTCTAAGGCTCTCGAGATTGTTATACTAGATCATATGTGCTGAAGATGGAAGAGTACGATTCTGCTAACTTTTTCCCAATTATCATCTTGTTCCCTACTATGATACTCATACTGTGTGTCTCCATCGGATGTCTCTCTACCACTATGATCCTAACTACTACCGACCGAATGTGTCTCTACCACTATGATCCTAACTACTACGGACGAGGATACTAACTACTACGGACCATACTAACTACTTCAGCAGCCGTTAACGTCTGCCACATCGGATGGTAGGCCCCAACCTAACCTAACCTAACCTAACCTAACCATCTGAGACCCAGCACATCTGCTAATCAGCTGTCGTCATGTTCCATTTTTTACAAGGGGACAGCGAAATCAACGAACAGCATGGAGAACGATCCTTCGTCCAGGAGCAGCGGGAACGGGATCAGAGACGACCACTGTTGCAGCAATTCTTTGTTAAGCATGGATGCCTAGGCCTAGAAGTAAGAGGAAATGTGTAGTGATAGAAATTATGTGTAGTGATAGCAAAGTAGAATTATGTCTGATACTAGAAAAGTGGTTGCAATATGAGAGAAACAACGACGTGGTAACGATTTTGCCTTTTCTAACCCAAGGGATGCTTATCATTTCAACAAAGAAGCTTTTGACGAAGCTAAGCTCTATGAGCTCGTAATGCGGTCAAGACGTGAGCAACGACCATCAGAGCTCTTACATTGTGGATCTCTACCGAAGGAATCGCTTAAGGGGTCAAAAAACGGAGTCCAGCTCGTGTGAGGTGAATGAGCTGTCTGAAAAAATTTTGTTGATGCTGGCATCGGCATCTCGAAATATTGGCCTTGACGCCAACGAACGTGCAAGTCTAACCCTGAAATTACAATGACCTTGAGCGCAACACCTTCGTGGTGCCGTCCTGACTTTATTCCCGAGCAATGAGTTGCGATTCACTCTGAGTACTAAAAGAGTCTCATTATATTTGTGCCGTGTTGTTCCCCGTTAAGAAAGGAAAACCATCATCACTGAGAGCGTAGCAGTGTCGGAATCTGTTGAGTAAGAGTGTCTCTGCTAAGTAGTACGTAGTCGTCGTAGCATCTGAGAACCTCATGACACAAAACAATCATCTTGTTCGTAAGAGCGCGGGTGAAGATCACATGCCTGCCCGTTATGAAAGTGCTGAAGGGATGGAGGGTGTCAGCGCAGGCAACACAACGCAGGGAAGCGTCGCGAGCACCGAGCTCAGCAGGGTAAGAGACGGGTGGGAGGGAGGGAGAATAAACTTGCTGCCGGCGGTAAGATGACTGTGAGCCAAGATGGCACTTTGGATCGTGAGGATGGAGCAGCTTCTTGTGCGGAACGGTGGCCTTGAGCAGAACCTCTACCGGGATCCGCTCGCTAAGCTTCTATTAAACTCGTTGATCCCTCAAGATCTTCTACATATCTAATCTTCAAAACTTCTGTTAGATGAGCGCAAAAAGCGATATTGAAGAGTGAAAATTTTCCTAGATGTCATCTTGCGAAATATGAGGAATGTTGAGCTTATAGTGCCTTGCTTCTACAAATAAGGAGGCCATGACATGAAGACAAAAGTACGCTTTTACTTTTTCTATTTTGACTTTTTTCATGAATTGGATGGTAAGGAGGGTAAATGTGTGTGATGCTACTTGCCTGCAATATTGATACTCTATTATCCTAGAACTTTTTTTTCTCCATGCGTCACCCCGCCCCCGAATGTCCTCGTTGTGTAGCTTCCCAACCTCTGCTTGCAGTTTATGAAAGTCAAACTCAAATTGTATCCATCAACTCAAATTCTATCCATCAACTCAAATTCTATCCATCGACTAAACAAACACTAGATACTCAACTTGGACTACAAAAAAGACAAGATGAGTGCCGAAAACGTCAACAAGGTTCTTGTTGCGGACCCTCAATGACAGTTGCTGAAGGCGCTAGATCAGCTGCTGAAGATAGTGCTGCCAGAAAGAACGTAACTGAAGGCGCTAGATCAGCTCCTGAAGATAGTGCTGCCAGATGAAAAAAAAGTGTGTCAACGCGCCAGCAGCTGAAGATGGCGCTACATCAAGAAAGAGTGTGTCCTCAACCAACGCATCGATGATAGTTCCTACCTCCGAAGACAGAAAGAACGCCAACGTGCCGATGATTGTGCCTGCCTCCGAAGACAGTGATCTCGAGGAAACGTATGGGAGTTCGCTCTCGGCTCTCGAGTCACTCCTAGACGCCATTTCTCTACAAGAAGACGAAATGTCTACCCAGATGCTTAGACGGGGACCTCTGCTGTCGAAATGCCACCCCAATGCTAGAGGCAGCGACGAAGAAGAGTCAAGGGCATTTGCGAGGTGGCAGAGAAGGGCAGCGAGATATAAAAGAAAAGTCGCGTTGAAGAATGCTAATCAGAGTGCTGACTATGAGAATGCTAATAATAGTACCACCTTCTGCGAAGATTATAGGAATGCTACTCATAGCGACAGCTGCGGAACTTTGGAGGAAAAGTTAATCAACGGAGAAAAGGTAATCAATGGAGGTGACAGTTCATCATCATCGTCTGCTTCGCTGCATCGAACTTCTTCGAAAATTAAGGCCACAAACGAGGTTCATTTCCTATTCCATAAGTGAGAAAGAGAAAAAAGATTAGGATAGCACGTAGAATGATGAATAGATTTTGTTAATGAGCCTTTCTGGCCATAGGTATAAAACATTTTTTCCTCTTCTTTGGGCCGCTTCTCGTCCTGCTCTAATACAAATCTCCGCGTGCCTCGCACTTGGGAGGATTCTCGCACACTAGAGGTCGTGACGCAGACCATCTTGCAGCAGTTGAAGCAGGCTTTTCAATCTCCGCTCTCCTCAGTTAAGCCTCAATTCCAAAAGGTCATTTCCAATCAAGGTCATTTCTCTTTTTACTTCCTTGCGCAGGAAGCGGTCTAAAGAAATGAGCCAAAGCACTTCAAATTCTTTTGGGCTCTAACTCAGTCGGAAACTGCGCTCTATCCGTAATCAAGGACCTCTCTGTTCCCCGTCGAACTGAGGACTTTTTCTTTCTCTTCAAGATCGTTGTCCTCCAGTCCGACGCTTTCCGTGCCCTAAGGCCAACGAGGCAGTTGCGAGCTCTGTGGCTAATCCTTGGGGCGTGTGTATTAGCGCATCTACTGTTGCCGTGGCACTGTGCTTCTCAGAACGCGTCGATTTGGAGGGAAACTGCAATCACAATGTCGCGGTTAACGTTGTTGCACGTTTTGATGTGCACGTTGTTAGTGCTGTGCAGAAATTTCGGGCCCGTCGAGCTCTTCAAATTGCTTCCAGAGTTGTACTTCGCGGACTTGGAGCCACTTGGTCCCGACCAAAAAGATGGCCCCAATTTCCCTGATGCAGCAGTGCTAGCGGTGGGGCCGCACCATAACGCATTGTTAGACGCAATCACGGCTGAGAGGGCGCTTCAGCTTTTTTTGGAGGGGCAAAATCCTGGAAGTACAGTAATTTTTGAAATAGCTGCATCCACTCTGGTCAGTCGTGTATGTTGAGGAGACCCACTCGGGGCACATTGTGATTACTACACGAAAACAATCTCATGGTTATCATGATCATCTTGATCTCCACCCCCTACTACGTACTCCACAGGAAGTGTCGCGAGTACGATATTGAAAGAGACGGACGTTAATGGATGGGACCTAGCGACCAAGGAGGCTCATAGCGTAGATTTGGCACGCGTGACGCACATCATGGCGGCTGATCTGCTGAGACGCCCCTACATGGGCCAAGTCGTCTCGATGTTCGACACAGTACCGGTAGAACGACTCCAGGACGTGGCTGTGAACTACAAAGTACCGACTTATGTGAAGGAGAAGCGCGTCTGGATTGAAGCAAAAGACTTAGAAGAAGCAAACAAGTTGTTCGGCGCCAAAGAGCAGATAGACTTGAAGAAGACTATCAAAGTGGGATCAATTTTGGTGGTTGGACAAGGTTTGAAGAACGGGGTGGTGGCAGAGGTTTTGAGCAATAGAGAGTTGCTGTTACAAGCGCCAGTGGCGAAGGCAGAAACGAGTGACATGGCGAAAAAGGTGCCGCCAAGAGCGCTGTCGCAGGAGTACAGACCTAAGGAGTATCTAGGGATGACATCGCAAGAAAAACAGGTCAGCAAGGGAGAGCAGCCCGCACCAGGGCACGAAGATAAGGGTGAAATAGCCGCGGTCGCGACAAGTGAAGAGAAACAGCTATCACCACATGCTTCTTCCCCTGTGGATGCTGGTTCACAAGAGATGACGCAAATAGTACCCTCTTCAACAACATCAGTTCTTGCCAACAATTCACTTGTTCCGTTACAACAACCTGTTGCACAGACTGACCAAGCTGAACTCCCACTCATGCACGAACCACAACAACCGGACCCGCCAAAAGTGTACTTCCTGGCCAACGGTTTCAAAAACGCACCCAAGATGGATTCCTTGGCTTTCTGCAGAGATTGTATCGATAAACTGAGGCAAAAACGGCGTGTAGTCATTTTCCCCGAAGGCGGTTCGCATGATCAACCGACTATGTTGGCCTTGAAACCCGGTGTTTCGATCATGACTCTGCAAGCTTCAGCGCAATTAGGAAAGGCAGTTCCGGTTATCCCGATGGGGATGAATTACAGCGCGCCGCATGTGTTTCGGTCGCGTGCCCGCGTCGAGATCGGAGCACCGATTTACCCCAGCCGAAGCATCATCAAGAAGTTCGTAGAGGACAAAAATGGCATTGGGCGCCGCCTTGCGGTAGAGAAGTTTTTAGCCAAAATCAAGCAGGGCTTTCTCAAAGTGACGGTGCCGGACGAGCGAGGTCACGTAGCGGGGATATTGCGTCACGCGGTCCGATTTTATCGCGATTCGGTTCGGTTTTCAGAGCAGCCAACAGCGAAACGCAAAAGGAGCTCCTTGTCGGATACGGAAGACCTAGCCACAATGGTCAAGATGTTTGAAGACGAAATTCACGTGACAAAAAGCAGTGGAGGTCCTCTGTTGAATGCGGCTGCAGCTGCTTCTTCGGGAGGCGCTTTTCCTCTAACAAGGATAATAGGTCCTTCAAGTACAGGAACTCTAAGCAGTCGCAGTACAACCGCCACCTCTATAAAAAAGGGTGCATCTTCAACTAGTTCATCTTCAATGAGGTCGACAGCAAACACAAGGATTAACAACTATTGGCTAGGTCAACAACAACATTCTTTTCCTAGTAACAATACGGTACTTACAACTCGGTCAATCACTTCACCAGCAGGTTCAGGATCGTATCATAGAAGTGGGAGTACTTCTTCGTTACCTCTGCCGACGAAAACGACGAAAACGAAATTTGCAGAGGATGGTGTAGAGGGTGATCGCAAAGCCAAGAAAAAAGCCAAATTGGACTTTCATTGCTCACCTGTTGCAATTGAACCTGTTGCAATTGACTCATCAAGAACGTCGACCACTACTACAGCTTCAGCTTCTCTTGGTGCTGGAGGTGGTGCTCATAGTGGTGCTGGTATTGCTAGTAATCAGACTGAAACCGGGAAAACAATAGACTCCATCTCTGGATCTAGCACTACGATTACGGATGATATGGTAACAAGAACAGCAGTCACAAGTACAACTACTTCTAAAGCGTTTACTTCTCTCCGTTCACCTGGTGCATTGCAGCAGCTAGCGGCAATGGGTGCTTTCTCTTCGTCAACAGTTGCAACGCGTGCATCTCTCTTTTTCGTTGGAGGTTCCACTACGGCTTCGGACACAGCGTCTTCTGCCAGTTTATCCACCGAAGAGAATGGAGATGCGGATGCAGATGTGTCAAGCGGTGACGACTCAGAGTCTAGCTGGTATTATATTAAGGCCCTATATATACGTAATGACGCGACGCTCAACGCACTTAAATACACGGCCGGCTTGTTTTCCTCTTTATATGTATTTTTAGGTTATCCCTTCTTGCAATATATACGTAATCTTCCATCTTGGATGTTCATAGAGAGTATAATAAGGCAACAAAAGCACTAAGTAAAACAACCGGTTCGTTTTCACCTCCACAATCTTAGGCTTATCCCATGCAACAACTTATACGTAATCTTCCATCTTGGAGTTCAACTGTATGTTACCTTGAAGCTCATCTCCCTGTGGGCTGTTTTCAGGTAGAAAAAAATGGGCATTGAAGATGAGGGAGAAGATGTGTTAGATCGAAGACTATAGTACTAGTGAAGACTATAGTACTAATTATCGTAGAGCAAGGAGACGAGGAGGGCAGCCATCGCCTTCACCCCTGTTAGACAGTAGTCGGAGACCTAGTTTTTCGATCCGGGACACCACAGCAGGTGTAGAAATTTCCAATGGAGGAGATAGTCGCTTGAAAAATACCAACCAGTACCAGAAAGATATATTACTTTCGAAGACGAGTCGCCACATGCTGAATAACAACAAGGAGTCGATGGCTTCCTCACGACAGCTTGAGAGGGAAAGAGAAGCAAATGAACGTGCTGCTTTAGCAGCTGCTAGCGCCAAGAATAAGTCAGGGAAATTGGACAGGAGTTTGTTGAGACTGTTATTGGCTGCGTGGAGCACCATAAGGGAAGAGCCGGAGCTAGCGGAATTGACCGGAAAAATTGAAAATTACACCACCCGTCTGAACTTGCACGGCATTGGGGATGCAACTTTGGTGCAGTACATGACGCGGTTTTTCGCGTTTAGATTCAAAGCCTCCAGTTTAGTTAAGGCTTGGAATTTGGCATCTCTATGAGGCATCTCTATGGTTTCTTCAAGTAGGAAAGCCGTAGATATGCGAGCTAGAGCGGTCAACTTTCAACCCCTAACTTAGCGGAAGGCGAAAATGGCGCAACCTCGATGTTGAGCTTGAGGGGTGTAGGAGGACAGAAAAGCATCGAGAGAATTTTATCGGAAAAGGAGGGACGCGAAGATTTAGAAAAAGAAAAAGCGGCTGCCAAGAAAAAACTGAATGAAACCAGTACCGCAGCGTCTGCTACTCAGGCTGTAGGATGTGAAGTTCTCCGCTCTAGTGCGACAGCCCAGCTAATCGCGTTCTTGGTTTCGAAAATAAGAGCCCTGATAAAAAAGAGCAATGAGGTGCACCAAACGGCGTCTTCCACTAGTTTTCGTGCTTATTTGGATGAGTATTTGGCTCCTGGGTTCCGTGCTCTCACAGAAGACTACGTTTGCCAACTGATCGTAACCTCTATTTCCTGTGCGTTTCTAGGCTGTTTTGTATCCGTGTGGCGGATCCTGCTTGCTCCCGTAGGACAAATAGCTCCGAGATTCGGGGCGTATATGGCAAGACACGCCTTGGCGAAAAGTACGGTGAAGATCAAGGGCTTAGACGTGTTTGGAACTTGGATGACTTTAGCTGCGATCCCGCTATTCTGCGTCACGCACTTATTTTACACATGCATGGGCTATCAAATAGCGGCTGCTCTGCTGGACTTGGACACATGCTCGCCGAAGAAAATCGAAGCAGGGATAAGACTACACTCACAGGTCCCAAGATTAGGATATCATTTAGGACACGATCTAGTGCAAGCTCAACAGCAGCAGCAAGAGCAAGATAATGGACCCTATCACCCGTCCCTGATCGCAGCTTGCTATTTTTTCCTTGCGCCCTTCGTGTATTTGCAGTACGTCGTTTTAGCTTCTCCGGACAGCAGTTCTGACAGTAGTGTGGAAGCTGCTTCTTCTCCTTCGGCCTCCGGAAATGCAGGTGCGTCATCCACCTTCTCATCTAGTACAACGCTTGAACAGCAGAGACGCTGGCTGCGCGTTTTGATGATACCCCAAGCGGAAATATTTCGCTTGTGGCGTCTAAGATGCGAATGCGTATTGTTGAGCAGGGATACCCTGAACAGGTTAGTGCTCAAAGGAGAAGGAGGAGTCGAGAAGGAGGACTCCTAAACAGATTTCTGACACTAACTGCTAAAAGAAATGGCCTACCTAGTACTAGAACTTGTCTCTACCCTATCAACTTTTTTGAAATGTACGACATACTGCGTGCAGAGGATTGATCCCTCTTTTGTTGATATCGCGCATTATAACATACAGATTTTTGATACGACTTAGTTCAACATAAGAAGAGAAGTCTCTTCGAAGATTCTAAGGCCAGCAAGATCAGTTACAACTATTGTTTGTGATACGCCTTGCCGGCCTGTTTTGGTCCTCTAGGGCTAATAAAGTGCTCCGAAGTATTACGGTCTTGATTAGTTTTTTTTTCGAAGAAAGTGCCGGCCTCATCGTATTTCACTGGCCTTGTCTACAATAGAGTCAGGTACTCGTTGGTTGCCTTGAGCTTTTTTTTGGATTTTACATCGAAGTGAAGATCCAACTTCCAGGTATGTCTTGTGAAGATCCAACTTCCAACTTCCAGGTATGTTTAATGTGGAGAATGAGTGAGTGTATTTGAGTACTTATATGTATGTCTAGAAATGCTCTTCTTTGAAGGTACAGGCAGACTGAATTAACCTCTTAATCAATAAGTCAATTTGAGCACTGAGGTTACATGACATGGCATGCCATGTAAGTACCACAGTCCTGATCCTCTGATCATCCTCACCCCCTTGAACTGTAATATGCCTACTGAAGTTGTGTATTATTTGTAAAGAATATCATGTTAGTTTTTTTCCCTGTCCCACATTCATGTTCGGAATTGTTTTTTTTTTAGCTGACAAACTAACTAACATAATTGTTTGATTATTTAATTCGTCAGTCTGAAAAAAGCCAAAGCGCTTTTTTGGTAATATGATTGTGATTTGTCGTTTTTGTGGACCATATTCTGTCTTTTGTGCACTGACTACAGGGTCTAATCTAATCCTAATCTAATCTAATAGTACAGGCTAGTAACACCTGAAACACTAAGCCAAGAGTTATTAATACTAAGCCAAGAGTTGCTGGGCAGTTGGTCAGTTCAGCGGCAGTTGGTCAGATCAACTGCTTTGTGTCAGATCGCCACAGAGAAAAACCCCTGTGTTCGCCCTCAATCTCTACAAAAATCGCAACTTGCGAGGTTCCTTCTTAAGAAAAATTTACGCTTCATGCTCTAATGACAACATTGAACCAGACGGTTGTTCCGCTTGCTTTTACGTAGCAACAACTCAAAGATCTGATCCTCACTCCAAGATCGAAAGACGAGATCCAAAATGTTTGATAACTCATTGACATTGACTTGCTAAGGCTATGGGAGAGATGAGAGAGACGAAGTATACTTACTTCTAACTGACCAACAAGATCTGCATAAAGACTTTCGTGTAAAAAACTACGACAACCAAAATGCGCTCCCAACAACGACCACAGGCTTCTTGCTACCCATGAGAAGAACGATCTAGTATTGAAGTCTGAGTATCGAATTCTCAGTCTATAAGAACGTTGAAAAAATTTTCAATTAGCGAATGTCGAAGAACTACAAACTGTGAAACAACATCCCATGAATAAACTATCGTTCATGTCTTCCTATTCTTGGAGAAGAAGAAATCTGATTTGCTTGATCACTGACGATCCATCATCGCGCTTTTACATCTGCTGATACTATTAACCCTTGTCTTCACCAGCAATCCAACCATGGTCTCCATCGTTGATCACGACGGTCTAGCCGCCTTGCAAAGGCAAATTGCTCACCTAGATGTCGGTGACCGAGTCCTTTCCGGCAGATTACATCTCTTCAAAATCGTGCCTGGCTCTTCAGCGTTAGGCGGCGGACGAGGCTCTTCAGCCTTGGGCGGTGCTGGAGCTAGGTCTGGAGCTGGAGGTGCTGGTGGAAATTCAAATTCAATACTGCTGGGAGGAAACTCATGTGGAGGCTTAGCCGGAGGTAGTGCAGCTGTAGGCACTTCTACTAGTCTACTACCTAATATATTTTTAAGGTCAGCTTTTATTGTCCATCTTTCTCGGCCTCACGGTAGTACCCTTTTCCCTTGTATTCTCATGAAATACAAGGTAAAAGGGACGACCCCAAGAAAAGGGGGGCCCCAAGAAAATGCAATCTAGCAGACTCTAAATATAGCAGGTGGGGCGACTTCAGGCGGAGGCGGTTCCTCTGGAAGCAGTAGTATTCCCGCGACGAGCAATCGAGGAGGACTATCGACTCGGCTATTACAGCAAGTGCTCTCACATGCCTTTCCCGAGTACGATTACGCGACCGTAACAGACGACAGATTCGAGGCGCACGCGGACCCGTTCCACATAGTCAACTCGGTCAACTGTAACTGTCTCTCGCTTGCAGGTAATACTGCTTCAACATTTTTTTGGATTTGACGTTTCGTTCTACAGTCTTTGTGATTGAATATGTACTTGAGCAAGTCGTGTTTGTCTTAAGATGTGAATTATTCGAATGCGTGAAAATTGTAAGAGATGATACATGACGCGTTTTCCGTCCTCGTACATTAGTTGTAATTGAAAACCACAATTACGTTAGGTGATTGTTGAGTCTCCTAACCCGAGAACTAGATTTCTTCATGATCACATTAATTATCACCCAAATAAACCATAATGATCCATTCTTCATCCCATTAATTGTCACTCAAATAAACCATAATCAACTCAAATAAACCCCATAGTGTGAAGGATCCATAACCTAACCTAACCCCCATAGTACTTCTACAGAACGATTTATTCCATAAACCTAATCAAACCCCATACACCATAATAAACCATAAACATAATCAATTTCCATACTACAGAACGAGAAAACCCTGGTTTTATCAACGGTTTCTGGCGTGTTGTGCGAGAGTGTGTCGACTTGCCGCGGTGTAGTGTTTTTTCTTACAAGCCTGAATCCCTAGAAGAGGTACCTGGAACTCCGTTATTCTCCTTCTTCCACTTTTTTTTAAGGCTGTAGCTAGTACCTTGAAACGTATCTTTGGACGCTGCATCCTTGATGAAGAAATGTATGGAGGAGTGGAGTACCTCTAGAATGGGTACACTACTACTACTGCTACTGTAAGGTGGGAATACTAACCCACCTAAGCCGCCCATACTTTTGAGTAGCCATGATCGTCCTAAGGGAAAACCCGAGTGCTCTCCCATACTTTTCAAGGATGCACGAGGACTTGAAAGACGATCTCAAAAAATCTTAACCTGTGAAAGTAGAGCAAGAGGATCAAGGAAGACATTAGAGGATCAAGGCTCTAATTTTTCTCGACAAAAGCGAAAAGAAACTCCTCTTCCTCTTTGGCAGTACGCGGAGTAAATGCCAAGGGGTCGGCCTCGACTTGTATTCCGAAGGCGGAGGGGGTACGAGTTCTGATGCGGGTGCCGATAGCGACAATTCCAGGTCGAGCGGAGGGGCTAATAGTTCAGGCATGATGCAGCATCAGCAGCACAGGAGGTCGTTTAGCAAGATATTAGAAAGGCGGAGCAGTTCAAGAAATAGCAGCGAACCAAGTAGTACCACTGTGGGGCCAGCTTCCTATAACTCCATCCGCAGTGGCGCGTCGTCGATGTTCAGCGCCTCTTCCAGCATACAACTTCAGCCGGGGACGATGATAATACAACAAGGAATAAACGGGAACACTACAACTTCTACTACCACGAATGACATAGTAAACAGCAGTATCAATATTAAGGCTCAGCTTTCAATGGTCACCATTGAGATTGGGGTCACTGAGGTCCCTCTCGAGGAAAGATGGGGGGAAAATGAAGGAAAAGCAAAGGGAGAGGCATGGGGCCCATTTCTTTCAGAGTCAGTGACCATTGAATGCTGAGCTTTAACAATAATTTAAACAACGTGAACGCAGTACAGCACAGCTTAAACACGCCGTTTGAACCATTACAACCAGTGGACTCGTCCCAGAATCTTCTCTCTGGCGATGAGAGTTCAATAGGCGGCGCGGACTCAAGTCCTGGGAGCTCGGCGAGATTAGGGGATTACGGATATCAATACGCAAGCGACGACTCTATGGGTATTTCTGAGGGAGATGTCGACGCGTGAACACGGGGCCACATATGTTGACACGTGAACAACGAACCACATATGTGGACGCGTGAACACCGAACCACATAGTATAAGAACTAACAGTTACTCGAGTCAAATTGTACATCTGGCACCAGCCACAAGTTAAGGTGAACGAGCCGCAAGTTAAACAGTACTTCTCGTTCTCTTTGAATCAACTCACAATTTGAAAAGTCTTACATGATGTCTATGATGTTATTTCGAACATACAGATTGAATACTGAAGAAATGGCTCTAGTGGTTGTAGTTGCTTACTGAGATGGTCATCGTTTCATTGTCACATAAAAGATAACTGTTGTCTGTTCTTGATTTACCCTCTAGTACTAATTGCTCGTTTGCTCGTTTTGTATAATTCGACGATGTATCGTCCTGCGACATATTTCCCTAATAGATAACAACAACGCTATCCCTATGCCCTCGTTCCCGCGCTTTCTCATGTAAACTTGTGGGGACCTTACACCCCATGAGGATTGCCAAACACTTTCCACACACCTTGAACAGCTACCTCAGGAGTTTAAACGTCCAATGCTAAGTCGCTGAAGATTCTCCAGGTGTGAGGAGAGAGAGCGACAGATATGATAAGTCGCTGAAGATTCTCCAGGTGTGAGGAGAGAGAGCGACAGATATGATAAGTCGCTGAAGATTCTCCAGGTGTGAGGAGAGAGAGCGAGAGAGAATCAGTGTGGAGAGATTTTCCCGTATTAGAGCAGAGGAGGAAGATGAACTTCAATGCCGAAGACGGCAGCAGATGAGATGAGGAAGAGACGGCTGCAGGAGAGAAAAGTGGTCAGCTCTCCCCTTCTTCTAGATAGAGTTGGCGTTCGTATTTTCTCAAAAATGTAAACGCTTATCTTCTCTAAAGGGCAATGATGCCGGGAGACCACGCGTCTCGCGCACGGCTTGCACGGCCATTGGGCGACTACGCTTGCTGGACAATGACACCTCGCAGCTCCTCCTCGAGCAGCAAACCTTGCAGCAAGGTGCTCAGGCATTTTCGTACTATAGCTTGCAGTCACGAACCTGAGTTCTTTCATCATAACCGCAAGAGCAAGAGAGGTTCTCTTTCTTCTTCTACGGCGATCGCGATAGGGACAAGTCAGCAACAACATCTACAACAAGTGTATCTTCCCCCATCTCGTCGCTGGTTAAGCACCTCTTCTACTTCTTCGTCAACTTGTTCAACATCCTCTTCCAATGCTCGTCCTTCGCTTGCAGCTTCTGCGGTGGAGAAATTGCAGGCAGATGGCGTTGTGGTGTTTGAAGATATTGAAGGCGGTGGTCGTCGTGGGCATACTACTTGTTCTCAAAATGTCGCTAGTACTTTCAATGTTGATTCTATCGAAGCCAACTACGTTTCGCGTGCGCGCTTGATCGTGGACACTGCGTTCACTGAGGCCACAACGCGTGCCAAAGAATTACGCAATGGTGAGCCGCTTCAAGTGGGGCAAAAACATGGCTTCCGGGAGATGGTGCATAGGGCGCGTGGCCGATACGATATGCTACACGGCATATGGGGACATCCGACGTTGGTGGAGAAAAGCACACTCTATCAGGAGGTTTTACTTACGGCCGCTAGTGACTCATCTTCACTATCTGGTTCTGGTGCTGTGGGATATTTAATATGTGCAATTGATTCCTCTCGAAGATTTATGAAAGAGGAAACAATGAGAAATAGAAGCAACTCACTCAAGGACCTTACTAGAGTAGCTACTGAGTGTCTAGCGTTAATTACCTGCCTTGTGCGAAGGGAATTTTGGGTTCGGACTGTAGACTCGAATTCAATGGCGCTCTAGTAACAGAGCCAGGCGCAGCAGAACAGCTATGGCATGCTGATGGACAACATTTGTTCTGCGATGAAGAGTTCTGTGGTTCAACTACAGGTTCTGTCTTACCAGCTCACTGTGTGAATTTTTTCGTCCCTTTGGTAGACATCACGGACCCACGCGCAGGGGGAACGGAGTTCTGTATCGGGTCCCACGTGGCAACGCGGAAATTGGGGACAGATGTAGTGTGGCAGCGCGCCGACTGGAAGGACTCGTTGGATTTATGGATGGCAGGTTATTACCTACGATTCCGTTCCACTTCCAGGACAGGATCATCATAATGATAGATGAAAAACTCTGGTCTTCCTCGGTTCATCAACATCATTGACGTAGAGGTACATGCTAGGGGCGGTAGGTCGGATTTCGAATATTACTTGGGCTGTATTCTGTGATCTAGGGTTAGGAGGTACTGTCTAAGCTACAATTACCCGAGTCGTTCCACTATGATGTATTGAGTGAGGGTTTAGGGTTAGGGAAGAAAGAGAAAAAGTTATAAGATCGGAATGTCCATATTCTAAGGCTTCCTACCGGCTGGTCCCAAGAGATTCGTCGAGTTCAGGTGCAAGCTGGCCAGGTCCTGTGTTTCGACTATAGGGTATTGCATCGAGCCTTAGAGCACAACGTGGATTTTAGACGGCCAGTCTTATACTGGACTTTTGTGCGACCTTGGTTCACTGATGCCTTAAATTTTGGAGGATTGCCTAGTTTGGGGTTCAACAAGGGAGGACCTTTTGGAAGTGAAGATGCTTCTATGATAAGTGATGGCACGACAGGCAAGCATAAAGAGCTACGAGGAGACATAACAGACTCTTCTTGTTGGATAACCAGGCTGCGGGAAGAGCAGTATCCGAAAACGTTGGGTGCTTGTGATCATAGACTACAAAATGGAATCGGCACAGTCTCGACTCTTTCCGAGCAGGCAAGTGATGTCCAACGCCAGGAGATATTCGCTGACGGCGCCGCTGGCTCTCAGACGCCCAAAATAGTCGCAGACGCAATGCGTAATTACATGCTAGAGAACGGAAGTACAAATCTAGGAGGTGCCTACCGAACCTCAGAAGCTGCATTGGCGCAGGTAACTAGAGCAAGGGCAGCGGCCGCTGCCTTTCTAGGGTGTGCGGACGGATCTAAAGTGGCCTTCGGTGCGAACTGTACGAACCTGATGTTCCACTTAGCACACACTCTGGACGAAAGATTAGTGGCAGAAGCAGCAAATCTAGCAGATGGAGAGGTAAGTGGGAAGGCACATTATAGAGGTTTTGTATCTATCTCTATGAAACGACTGCAACAGGAGTAATCATGACGATGTTGCTGGTGCAAGATGTTAAGTCGTCCTGGCGAACATTTAGAAGGTAGAACTAGACCTAGACCTTCATTTTTCTGTCTTAAAGTCTAGTACTTCTTCTACTCTACTTTTAAGACATCATAGGTAAGACCTTATACTCCTCAGGCCCTTCCACGTAAGAACATCGTTCTTTCCCGTGCCTGTCATGACGCGAATGTGGCGCCATGGCTTCTGCTAGCAAAGAAGAGGAGTTTAGAAGTGCGCTGGGTTGAGACTATGAAAGAGTCTACAACATCAGAAGCCTCCGATATACTGAATTGGGAAGCAGGTGCGTCGAAAATTGACGAAAACACCATTCTAGTGGCCCTTGGTCTCGCGTCAAACGCGACGGGTCGCGTTCACTGGCCTGGGATTGAAAAACACATAGTCCCGAAAGTGGTGCAACTGCGGTACGAGGAGAAAGATGCAAAAGCAAAAGCAGCAACAACATCTTTTGGCACAGCATCATCAAGCATGGAAAACACTCGGCGGCCTATGTTAGTTTTGGATGGTACGCACTATGTCCCTCATTTCAGATTCGACTTGCAGGCCTCTGGAGCAGATGCCATCCTCTGTTCTGCCTACAAATTCTGCGGCCCTCACTTGGGCTTAGTGGGGTTCAACACGTTTTCGGACTTCATATCCCCAGAGATAATAAGTGGATTTATCCCTAAAGTGGGTAGGAGATTCAACATCTTGGATCATGTAAAGGAAGAAGAAATTATAAAGGCCCGAGTACATGATGATTTGGAACAACTAGGACACCCACAACAAACTTATATTATAAAGGGAAGTACTCAGGACGTCCTACCCGCATCCACGACGCCAACGCCTGAAGGATACGAGATCAGTGCCTGGGAAATGGGGACGTTGAACTACGAAGCTTTAGCCGGATTGGAGGCATGTGTGATGAAGTATTATGCTGAGTTTTTGGGCGGAGGTGAGGGGGATTCCACAGAAGGAGCAGGAGCAGGAGATTCGAAGTGCAAGAACACTGGTAGAGAAACTGACCTTTTCGATGACCAGATGCGTCCGCAGCATATCAAAGCTCGCCTAGAGGCAGCCTTCGCAAGAATCCAGGAGCAAGAGAAGAAGATCAGCGCAGCCTTTTTGGAAAAGATAAAGCCTTATTTACCTGATGAAAGTGAAGAAGGTGTTGGTGGAAAGACTCAAAATAAGAGGCTTCTGCGTTTACATGGTTCGACGACAGCCGCAAACAGGACACCGACGTTTGCACTATCTGCGTCTACCTCTTCAAAATCGAAAGGTCCGACATCGAAGGACGAAAACAATGTTACTGTTAGCCAAGGAGAGGTTGATGATCATGATCAAGGGTCACGAGATGAAGGCTCCCTGTGCGACTATTTGAATCGCAGAGGTGTTTTTTGCACAGTGGGCAACCATTACGCACCGCAGCTTGCCGAACGGGTGCAAGAAGAAGGGATGTTGACCAGAATAAGCTTTTTGCACTACTCCAGCGTCCAAGACGTAGAGCGGGTCGCTGAGATAGTGGGGGAGTATGTGCATCCAGTGTCCAAGACGTAAAGCGGGTCGCTGAGATAGTGGGGGAGTATGTGCATCAGGTTGGCAATTTTGGGTGATTTGAATTTTAGAACAAGTTCTACCAAATCGATTTCATCATTCTTAGATGACATTCTTTTATCAGGAGCCATGGCCTCTGAAATCAAGCCAGAAATCTTCTAATTCTAATTCTAGCTTCAAATTTGATATCAGGCCCACCACGGATGAGCTGTCGGTGCTCGTGTTGAGTTCAAGATCTCTCGAGTATTTCAGCCTCTGGTGAGCAACAATGCGTCGAAAAACTTTCTGTCATGTGCCGAAATCTTTAAACTTTCAGGGTGGTGGTCGTTGAGCATGAGTTTGTATAACAATCTGTCCGAGAAGATGGAGAGAGAGAGAGCATTTCTGGAGCAGAGCATTCGTGGATGATTGGAATCTGTTAGAGAGAACTGCCGGAGTGTACTGCAGAGACACTTCTGAGCTTAGAGGCGGTCGTGATTTAATTTCTGTACTAGGGTTCAGAAAATATAGAATCTGTTATCGAGGACGAGTGAGAAAGTAAACCATTATTTGAATGAATCCGCTGAAAGAATGATGATAGGAAAGCCCTAGATGATAGTACTCTAATTCAAAGACGAATATTCTTCAACAGGTTGCTTCTCTCTGTTTCCCAAAACCCTCTCCTCGCCAAGGATATTAAGTTCCGCATCTTTATTTCTCCGCCTATTCCTTTCATTCGGCTTACTACCTGCTCACCAACATCAGAAGCAGAGCTAGATCTTCAACATCCTCTAATTAAGTTAAATAGTTGAAATTCACAAAGTTCTACTTCTAGTTTTCCCCTAAGTAAAATATAGAATATTAAGTAGCACTAAACATCACTGGGGTCATCATGCAGAACTTGGAGGTCGTTTCTAAGTACGCCGAGCTGTACTACAAGCAGGGGATGGCGATGGTAGAACCCCATTTACGTCCCGTCATCGCGGCTCTGACTATGGCTTACGATACTGTGGTGAGACATCTGGTGATGCTATCGGCGAAATTGGGATTGGTCTACTACCTTACCCTATTCGATACCGTGGTCTTGCAACCGCTATTGGCACAGGGTTCGATCTACAAAGCACTCGCTGGCGGGAAATACGAAGCTGGGCGCCAATTTTTGCTCAGCAAAGCCCCCATGCTGATGTCCTACTTGCCGGAATGGGCATTATTTTGTAAATACACGTACTACGTGGCCTTGTTCAGCTTTGCGATAATCGCCATCCGCTTGCTAAACCAAAAGTTGACGCACAGTGTGGCGCGAGAAGCCAAAACTAGATTGACCCAAGCGTTGCTGAACGTCAACGATGATGAAGAGGTTAGCATCACAAAGGGACGACATCATGGAAGCGACCGTAAATCGGCACCAAAAGATCTTGTTCATACTTCTGGAGTTGTAACTAATAATGGAGCAGCTGAGGCGGAGAACATAAACAAAAGGTTCTCGATTACTGTTGAGGCTGAGTCTGGGAAAAAGGCAACGTCATTGGAATCCGCCAATGTGAGACAAAATGATCGTGCTGAGCCAAGGGTACTTGATGTCGCATTTTGACAGAATCAGGCACTAGATGAAAATCAAGATTCTATTGTTGGCTACTATAGGAGAGTGTACTAAGTAGAAAATTGTATACATTGTTGACAGGAGATTGTACTCCGTAGAAAATTGTTTACATCACCGTAGTTCTTAAAGTGGATTCATTCCTGGTGGATTCATTCGCCACAGGACAAGAATTTACCATATTTATGTTTACTCTACCCAGACACATGCACATGCACATTACATCAAATCACATTACAGAGTGACGGCACGTCCTTGCCTTCGACCAAACACTCCACTGACTCCCAGAACAAGAAGACCGTAAAACGACCAAAGCCAGACTCTAGTTAAGGCTTCTCCTAATGGTCCATCTTCAGGAATAAAGCCACTCATCCGAGGATATGGATCTTTCTAAAAATCCTTCAAGGAAAGATGCATTTCAAGGAAAATAGAAAGGATCCCTCAGGATGTACCTACTGATCATTTTTACGGTGAGCTCAGCTCTAATTTTGACTCGCGTCCAAACCAGCTACGTTTAAAACTGTAGAGCCCTGTGGAGCAGGCCTGTATCTAGTGAAGTCTGCGAGTCCAACAGTTGTAGTCCGAGTCCAAACTCTAGGAAGCAGCACCCAGGTTGCCAAGGGAGAAGTAGCACTGTGCTATGCAGAATTGTCCTCAAACACGACGAAAGCTAGTGCTGGACAAAATAATTCGCAGAAAGCGGA